TACAGCACCCCAGTGTCATGCCACAACAGACCCGCCCCCACCGGTACCGTACCCCGGTCTCATGCAGGGACAGACCCGCCCCCACCGGTACCGTACCCCAGTCTCATGCAGGGACAGATCTGTCCCCACCAGCACAGTACCCTAATGTTATACAGTAGTGAAAGCACAGTGTGAAATGTGACTTTATGTTCAATACTTACAGTCTATGTAATGGACATAGAACACCTTGCGCCCGCTGATGTCTTTAACGCTGAGGATTTCAGCAAGTGCTGGGGTAAAAAGAAGTAAATAATACATCAGTTTTCCTCGAATGAATGGCCGCAGACAGGCATTCATCATTTCAAAACCAGATATCACCTGAGCCAGCTTCAGGACATAGGATTAACATGGAGTGAGTGCTATCAATCCATTCCACTCTGCATGCTCTGGTCTAACCCTGCCCACCTCGTTATTTAGCTTCTCTCAAACCACCCAACCCTGAAAAGGTCTACTCGACCCTTACAGCCATCCTTGTAACAGGAGGTGACCATTCAGCCTCTCTAGCTGGTCTAGAATTAAACAACAAACATTTCCTTTACAAGTCCTGACAGGTTGGCAGGGATGTCTCAGTATAACAGGAGGACTTCGATTACTTCCTTTACGAAAAACTGGATCGTATTCAGCACCTGACATTTCAACTTCCAGGTACTAACTGATCAGCTAATATATCATTTTGATTAACCTGGCAAGTTTTTGTATGGCCGTGCTGACACTTCAAGAAGCATTTCAGTGGCTGCCAAGTATTCTTTTGGTATGTCCCAAAGTGGCGTAGTTACTATATAAATGCAAGTCCTTTCTTTGCCCCATTCCTGTTATTGGGGCGACAACAGCTTCCCCCCCGCCTCAGTGCTTGCATTCAAAATGACGCCATTGGCTCGCTGCTGGCCTAAAGGGTGTCACTGCACGAGCCAAATAACTAATAATTAACTAAAGCCAACTAAAGTAAGTCCAATAAATTCTAGTCTAAGGCTGTAAACTTAAGACATGTCAGGAGAGGCCAGCAAAGCAGAATGTGTAGCCTGTCATATGTGCAGAGTTCTGGAGCTGCCAGAGTTCCAGATAACCACATATGCAAGATGTGCTCCAAGCTGCAGAAGCTGGAGCTCTGGGATTCAGAGCTGGCACAGAGGTTGGAGACACCGTGACACATCCACAAGGCTGAGAGTTACATGAATAGCATGTTCAGAGATGTGGCCACACTGCGGCTCAAGGGACGAGAGGGAGGTAGGGAATGAATGACCACCAGGCAGTTCAGAAAGGACAGGCAGGTACTGCAGGAGTCCCACTCACTAACCAGTATTCCATTCTGGAAGCTGAAGATGGTGCTAGTACCTCGGAACATGCAGTCAGAGCCACACTTCTGGCACCATAAGTGGCTTGTCTGTATGGGGGCTGAGGAGGAAGAAGAAAGGAACAGCAACAGTGATAGGGGATTCTTTAATGAGGGGAGCAGACAGGTGTTTCTGCAGAAAAAGACACGACTCCAGGATGGTGTGTTGCCCCCCCTGATGCCACGGTCAGGGATGTCACTGAATGACTGCAGGGCATCCTGAAAGGGGAGGGCGATCGGTGAGAGATTGTGGTACATGTTGGTACTAACAATATGGGTAAAGTGAGGAATGAGATCAGGGATCTAGGCAGTGGATTAAAAAGCAGGACCTCAGTAGTTGTAATCTCTGGATTACTCCTGGTCCCACGGGCTAGCGAGTATAGAAACAGGAAAATAGGACAGACAAATGCGTGGTTCAAGAGCTGGTACAAGAGGGAGGGTTTTAGATTCTGGGATCACTGGGACTGCTCCTGGGGAAGGTGGGACATGTACAAACAGGACGGTCTGCACCTGAACCGTACTGGGACCAACATCCCTGCAGGTAAGTGTGCTAGTGCTGTTGGGAGGAGTTTAAACTAGTCTGGCAGGGGAAGGGGGCACAGAATGTTGATGAAACAGAGACACATCATGCTACAGCAAAGGCAGCAAGTAACAGTGAGTTCAGCTATATTGAGTGTCAAGACAGTAAGGTAAGGCTGGATCGTTTTTACTTTAATGCTAGGAGTGTAATGGGTAGAACTGATGAGTTAATGGCGTGGATTGACACATAGAAGTATGATATTGCTGCCATCACAGAAACATGGTTGAGGGAAGGGCTGGACTGGCAACTCAACATTCCGGGCTAAAGGATCTTTAGGCGAGATAGAGGAGGCTGTAAGAAGGGTGGTGGTGAGGCACTATTAATTAAAGAGTCAATTGCTGCGATAAGGAGAGATGAAATCTCGGAAGGGGCTTCAAACGAGGCTTTGTGGGTAGAACTAAGGAATGTTAAGGGGGCAGCCACTTCACTGGGAGTGTATTATAGGCCCCCAAAGGGTCAGTGGGAAATCGAGGAGCAAATATGTAGACAATTCAGTGGTGTGCGTGTGTGTAATAATCGGGTAATTATACTGCGGGATTTCAACATTACCAACATAAATTGGGATAGTCCAGCACTGTGCTGTCCCTTGTTGCGCCTTCTACATATTGGTACAAAAAACTCCCCGGATACATTTCAAGAAATCCATCCCCTCTAAACCGTGTTCACGGGTGTTCAATGTGGCAGTGGGGGAGCATTTAGGCAATAGTGACCACAATATGGTACGCTTCAAATTTGTTCTGGACAAGGAAAGAGATGGCCTGCAAACGACAGCTTTGGACTGGGGAGGGAGATTTTATTAGAATAAAGCAGGATCTGGCCACAGTTGACTGGAACAGCTCCTTGCAGGTAAGTCTATAGCAGAGCAATGGTGGGCATTCACAAAGGAGCTGGAGGGAGTACAGGTCCAACATGTACCTTTTAAGCAGAAATGTAGCAGCAATAAGTTCAGAGAACCCTGGATGTCTAGGACAATTTGGGACTGAATGAAGAAAAAGAAAAAGGCTTTCCGCAAGTCCAAAGGGAGCAATTCAGCTGTGGTTCTAGAAGAATACAGGAAGTACACGAGGGAACTTAAGAAAGCAATTAGAAGAGCAAAAAGGGGGAATGAGAAAGGACTTGCAAACAAGATTAGGGAGAATCCCAAGATATTTTATAAGTACATTAGAGGGAAGAGGTTAACCAGGATCAGAGTTGGGCCCATTAGGGACCCAGGGACAATCTGTGTGTGAAACCGCAGGATATTGGAAGAGTGTTAAATGAATATTTTTCTTTGGTCTTCACTCTGGAAAGGAGAATGTAGGTATGGAATTCAGGAAAAAGGGACTTTGAGGAACTTGCACAGTTTGACCTGGGAAATGGAGAGGTATTGGAGGCTCTGTCAGGCTTAAGAACAGACAGAACCCCTGGCCCGGACACAGGAGGTGAGGCAGGAAATTGCAGTGGCTCCGACACAAAGTTTTAATTCCTTTCTGGCCACAGGAGGACTTGAGAGCAGCTAATGTGGTCCCACCTTTCAAGAAGGGTGATAGAGATGAACTAGGAAATTACAGATTAGTGAAACTCATGTCAGTGGTAGGGAAACTACTGGAGAAAATTCTGAAGGAGGAATAAATATTCACTTGCAAAAACATGGCTTTATCAGAGGGAGGTCATGCCTAACATATTTGTTAGAATTTACTGAAAACATGATAGAGTGTGTGGATGAGGGAAGTTCAGTTGATGTACTTTATATGGATTTTAGCAAAGCCTTTGGTAAGGTCCCACATGGGAGACTAATTGAGAAGGTTAAAGCACATGGAACTGAGGAAAACTTGGCGAGATGGATCAGAAACTGGCTCAGTTAATAGGACATAAAGGGTAGTGGAAGAAGGCTGTCTGAGTAACTGGAAGCTGGTGTGCGTGTTGTACCACAAGGATCACTACTGGGACCCATATTCATAAATGATTTGGATGACAATGTGAGGGGAATATTAAGCAAACTTGCAGATGACACCAAGATTGATAGGGTGGCTAATAGTGAAGATGATGGTTGTGGGTCACAGGAAGATTATAGACGGGTTGGTCAGATGGGCACTTTGGAAGGAGAACCAAGATGAGGGAGTAATTAATGAATGGCAGGACACAGGGTAACTTAGAGGAACAGAGGGATCTTGGGGTAATTATTCACAGATCCCTGAAGATGGCAGAGCACGTGAATAGGACAGTTAAAATGGAACACTTGCTTTCATCAGTCGTGGCATAGAGTATAAGAGCAAGGAGGTAATGTTGAAGTTGTACAGGGTGTTGGTTAAGCCACAGCTGGAGTACTGTGTGCAGTTCTGGTCACCTCACTACAGGAAGGATGTGATAGCACTACAGGGGGTACAGAGGAGGTTCACCAGAATGTAGCCTGGGGTGGAGAAATTGAGCTATAAGGAGAGACTGGGTAGGTTTGGATTGTTTTGTCTAGAGCAGAGAAGATTGAGGGGGGACAAGATTGAGATGTATACGATTATGTATGAACAGGGTGAGTAGAGAGCAGCTGTTACCTTTCGTTGAAGGGTCTATCACGAGATGTCATAGTTTTAGGGTAAGAGGCAGGCGATTCTGAGGGGATTTGAGAAAAACCTTTTCACTCAGAGGGTGGTGGGAATCTCAAATGCACTTACTGGAAGGTATTAGAGACCAGAAACATTACAACCTTTAAAAATATTTGGATGTGCACTTTAAATATCAATACATTCAAGGTTATGGGACGAGGGCAGGAAACTGGGATTAGTGCACCTAGTGTTGGGATGAGGAACTACCCCAGGAGAACCAGTCAGAGAACCCCCGCAGCTGGCAAGAGGTACCACCCTCTGGGAGATCCGGTGGGAGTGTATGTCCTGCCAGGAGGAGATACTGTACTCTGGTGGATCCAGTGGGATCACCCTCTCTGGATAGGAGGAGGTACCTTACCACTGGAGTTCCACTGGGTGTGCCCTTGTGGATGGGAGGGGTTACTGCACTATATCTGTTCCATTGAGGGCACCCCTCAAGACCAGGAGGAGCTACTGTACCCAGGGAGATCCAGTGGGACCATTCCTTATGACCAGAAAGAAGATCCACTGGGAGCGTCACTCATGGCCCAGAGAAGGCACTGCACTTCACAAGATCCAATGGGTGCCCACCAAACTCCACTGCGTCCTGGAAGAGATATCGCACTCGGAGTTCCAATGAGAGCCTGTGCCCTGTGTCCTGGAGAAGGTGCTGCACTTTGCAAGATCCAAATGGCGATTTCCACCACCCCCCACCCCCACATCCTGGAGGAGGTACCACACTCAGAGAGTTACAATGGGAGTAACCCCTCATGGCCAGGAGGAGACATTGCTCCTTAGGAATTGCTGTGGGAGTGCGTCTTGTGGCCTGGAGCTGGTACTGCACTCCACAAGAGGAGCAACCAACTTCCCCTTACCCCTAACCCCACCCAATACAGCCAGAAGAGGTACTGCACTCAGAGTTCCAATGAGACCACCCCATTGGCCTGTAGGAGGTACTAATGCCACAGGATCCAGTGGTAACACACTCCTCCACAGCCTGAAGCAGGTACTAGACCCGGGGCGATCCATTGGCACTGCATCCCCCATCCCATGCCCTGTGGCCAGGAGGAGGCAGTGCACTCAGGGAGTTTCAATGGGAGACCCCACCATGGCTAAATGGAGAGATTGCTTCTTGGGATCGGCAGCAGGGGCGCCCCCTAAAACCTTAAGGAGGTACTGCACTCAGGGATTTCCAGTGTGAGCACACCCCCCCATGGTCTGGAGGAGGTACTGCACTCAGGGATTTCCAGTAGGAGCCACCCACCATGGCCAGGAGATGATATTACTCCTTTGGAGTTGCAGTGGGAGTGCTCCCTATGGTGTGGGGGAGGTACTGCACTCAAGGATTTCCAGTGGGAGTGCAACCACCACCCCTGTCCCCATGGTGTGGACCAGGTACTGCACTCAGGGATTTCCA